TAAAGTAAAGAGCCCCTTCACCAGCCTTTTGTTATGATTCTTGTGAATCGACAACACACATATATGGAATTGGCGGGATATCTGGAATCTTAAATCTTGCTCGATCCTGAGTAACACACATCTGTTCTCAATTCGACAATATAATAATTCCATTCAGTTTCTTATATATTATATATATATATATTGAACTTTATGGAAAAATCTTCATCAAGATGATCGGATAATCTTGATACTCACTATATATGTGTATAGGAAAAGTTCAAATAGATTTATAATCATCTTTTTGTGAATTGAATTTAAAAAAAAGGAATAAAAAAAAATGCGACACAGATCAAAATATGTGACGTTCCATGAGGAAAGGGACCTTAGCTGCAAAAAAATGAAAATTGAGTTTTTGATATCAGTCGATAGATCTTGAGTTGCTCTTTCAGATACAAAAGTTAAAAATTGTACTTTTCTATTTAGTTTTTTTGTTATAAAGCATTAATCATGACCATGTTAATCGCGTTCCAGCACGGACTACAGAAACCATCCCCACCACTTCTACACTAGTATACTTGTCGTAAGCGTGAGCTGTAGGAACGATGTAGTAGTAAGGTGGTGGGGCTGATTTTCGATGGAGGGTCTCAACCAATCAGGGACGCTCTACTTTAAATATCTTTTCTGGAAAATGCGTCTATTGCAGCTAAGGTCCCTTTCCTCATGGAACGTCACATATGTACTTGAAAATTGTAACTAAATTCGACCTAATTCTTTCAATACGTCGAGATTTTAAGATAAATGTATATTGTGCTATAAAAGTAATTTTTTTTTTTTTTGAGGTTATATTTGAAGTAATTTTATTGGTATTCTTCATTACCAGGGGCGGCTCTAGGAAGGGGCCAATTTTCAAAACATTAAGATTTTCGATATAAAAATAGTTTTTTTTGGTATATTTTAAAATAATTTTATTAGTATTTTTTTAAAAACTAGGGCCGTATCTAGGAAAGGTTATTTGTCCTGGACGCCAAATTTTAAAACAAGAAGATTTTGAAGTTTCTTAAACAAAAGGTAGGTATTTTTTTTATTATTTTATACTTTAAGTCTTTTTCGAACTATTTTTTAATACTAGGGCCGTATCTAGAAAAAAAAAAACATTAAAAAGTTCAAAGTAGGATCAAAATAAATAAAAATAAACTAGTTCTTATTTATACATTAGAGATGGGTTTAATCCAGGGAATATGTATAGAATAAAAGTAGGTTCAAAATAGGGTTAATGTAGCATAAAAATAGGTTCTACGGCAGTTTAAATGAAGGATCAAAAAAGGTTTCAAAGTGGGTCAAATTTAAGTCAATTTATAGGACTAAATGTTGGTTTTAACTACAGTTTAAGTAGGTACAAGGAAAGGTCGAATTAGGTGTAATTTAGGTTAATGATAGGTCCTAAGTAAGTCCAATAAAGGTTAATTGTAGGTCCTAAGTAGGTTCAACACAGAGTCAAAGTAATTCATATTTAGGTTAATTGTAGTTCGAAAAAAGGTTCTAAGTAGAATCAAAGTAGGTTTAATGTAGATGTAATGAAGGGTCAAAGTTGCTTTAAGATATGATAAATGTGGGTCAAAATAGGTCCAATTTAGAGTAATTGTAGGATTAAAGTTGGTTTCAAATAAGGTTAAAGTAGGTTCAAAGTAGGTTTAAATTAGGTCTAATTTAGGATTATTCGAGGGTTTATTATAAGTCCAAATATTGGTTCTAAGTAGGGTTTCAGTAGGGTTCAAGGTAGTGTCAAATTAAGTCTAATCTATGTCTTAAAAATATTCCAAATATGTTCAAAGAAGGTCCTATTTAGGTTAATTGTAGGTCTTAAGTAGGTTTAAAGATTTAAAGAAAACAAATTGAATTGAGGATTAAACTTGTTTTAATTTACATATTCAAGGTAGATTTAATCTAGGATTTATGTAGCATAAAGATAGGTTCAATCAAGGCTTAATGTAAGTTAAGTCTAAATAGGTGCAGTGTAGGATTAAAATGTGTTCAAGAAGAGTCAAAATAGTTTTTAATCTAGTTTTAAAATATATAGTTTTAATAAAGGATCAAACTAGGTTTAATGTAGATATATAATGAAGAGTTAAAAAAGGTTTAGTTTTTTTTAAATATAGAGTTAAGTTATTCTAACTTAATTTTGTCACCTCTAAAAATTTGGCGCCCAGACTGTCGGTCTTTACTATACACGCTATATAGTCATAAATCATTTAAAGTATCATTAAGTTTTCCTTTTTGCGTACTTATATATAAGAAAAGAAAAACAGAGGCTAGAAAAATAGATGCTGAGATGCTTTTTACAAAAGCGCTTTAACGCTGACGTAAAACGCATCGTTAAGGTCACGTGGAGTTCGGTAAATGTAAAAGGGGAAACTGGATACGTCAAAAGAACACCCACAGAAAAGCTTTAGAGACTCACTCTTGGCTCCCTCTAATATTGCCGTCAAAGATTAATGTTCGCCACTGAGAGATATGTTCTTATATATGTATATGGATACTTGAATAATTTTCCGTTGACAATATATTTTGCTAAGAAACACCACGTGTTGATGTATATAAACAAAAGCAAAAAAAAACATTGAACCTAGTTTACCCCTAGGTTGAACCTAGTTTAACTCTAGATTGAAACTAGTTTACCCCTAAGTTGAACCTACTTTAACCCTATATAGAGCGTAATATAACCCTAGATTTAACCTTGTTTAAACCTAGATTGAGCCTACTTTAACCCTACACTTAACCCTATTTAACCCTAGATTGGGCCTAGTTTAACCATATATTGAGCATAATATAACCACAGATTTAACCTTGTTTAAACCTAGAATAAATCTATTTTAACCCTACATTTAACCTTTTTTAACCCTAAATTGAACCTAATATAACCATAGATTTAAACTAGTTTAACCCTAAATTAAACCTAGTTTAACCCTACATTGAACCTAATATAACCCTAGATTTAATCTACCTTGAACATAAATTAAAACTAGTTTAATCATAAATTGATCTTACTTTGATATCCCCTTAACATACGTTTTCCATAAATTAAACTCAACTTTAATCCTTTTTAGAACCCAATTTAACCCTACTTTCACTCTAAAATAGTCTTATTTTTTAACTTCTATATATTTTAATTAGTTTTTTATATCACCTACTTTTAGATGATACTTGCTCTACTTTTTGAAGTGTCTAAGAAATATTATACAATATTGTGAGAGGGAGAGAACAAGAAAAATTGAATTAAATCGAAAAAATTTGACACTCACCTGGATATATATATGGAATATATGTATCTGTATAAAGCAGAAAAAAACGAAATGTCGCTAAGAAAAAAAAATAGTCCTACGATCCTCATACGATAAAGGGATGTCGGCTGTCTGTTACGTAAAGCCCTTCCAGGAAAACATAAAAGTTCCAATACATCAAATGCAGTTTTTCTTCGACCTCATGAAAGAAGTCGATTGGGGGGAAGTCCAGTCTTGTATCTCTCAGTGAGTTGAGAAAATCTTAGGTGTGTGTGTGTGTACACAGGGTCTTCTGAATCCGGATAAACTGAAACTGAACAATGAAGTTGTGTATATATACGTTAAAAACGATGAGTGCACAGACAAAGTACCTACTTTTTTTCAAGAATATATTTTTTTTTTTGGTAATTTTACATTTAGAGAATTCATGGTTTTATTATTAAAATTTTTTGAATCTAGAATTCATTTACTTTAACCATTCATTAAATTAGAACCTACAATTAACCTACTTTAGAACTTATTTGACCTTAACTTGAACTTCCTTAACCCTACTTGAAACAAAAGTTAAACCTGCAAAGAACCTAAATTAAACATATTTTGACCCTACTGGGAACCTACTTAAGAATTATTATTAATCTAAATTTGTCCTACATTGATTTACTTTGACTTAGGACCTACAATTAACCTTTATTAGACCCACTTAGAATCTAAGTTAACCTAAATTAGACCTAATTTTAACCTACTTTGAACCTACTTAAACCCTATTTGGAATCACCTCTAAACCTACAATTAACTTAAATTAGACCTATTTTTACCTACTTTGACCCTTCATTAATCCTACATTGAACCTATATTGACCCTACTTGGAACATTAGACCTAATTCGACTCTACTTTTAACCTACTTAAATTCTACAATAAACCTTAATTGGACCTATTTTGACCCTACTTGTAATCTACTTAGCTCTTACAATTCACCATATTTGACCCTACTTAAGATCTACATTTGACCTAAATTAGATCTAATTTGACTCTACGTTGAACCTTTATAAACCCTCCTTTAAACCTACAATTATCCTAAATTGGACCTACTTTATCTCATTTTAAAAACTACAATTAACCTTTTTTTGAACCTACTTTGACACTCCTTAAACATACTTAAGACCTATACATAGAACATAAATAGAACCTATACTTGGAACTTATTTTCATCGAATGGTAAACGATGTTTTATTGATTGATAATTCACAACAAAACATTAAAAAAAGAAAAGAAACCAGGAAGATGTGCGAAAAAAAGGAAAAAATAATTCTTATTTTACCTATACTTTCCATTTTTAATTTTTTTTTTACATATTTAATAATATTTTTTTATGCTTTCGTAGTTGAATGATAAAAGTTGTAATATAATTTTTAAATAAATTTTTTAAAAAAGTTAAGAAATTATTTCAATTACGAAAAATAAAAATGTCTTTTTTTATTTTTATTTCTCTATTCACAGAATCATTTATTTCATTTATTTTATTATTTTTATGTTTTGTTGTGAATCGTCAATTATTATTTACCGAGTTTACAAACTATTTATCGTTTAAAAACTTCTTTCAATGAAACAGCTATTAATTTAGATAACAAATACAATTATATATGTCAATATGTATTTGACATGTGCGCATATGTATAGAGAATATGTCATATACATAATAATTTTTCACGTGTTTAGAAAAAAATAAAAGAAAAAAAAAAAAAAAAAAAAAACTCGTATAGTAATTCATTATCAACTTTCAAAGTTACCAACAATGTTAGTTTTTTTTTATTCAAAGTTTGCATATTTTTAGTTAATACCACAAAAATGAATCTAATGGAACTTTTTAATTATTATTACAATAATTTGGCTGGTAAGTTGTTTTTTTTAACATTAGTAATAAAAATAGTAAAAATAACAATAATAATACTAACAAGAGTAATAATAATAATCATAATAATAAATGTAAAATAAATTTATATATTTTATCAATGTCTATTAATATAAACTGATAAAATAATGAGGACATTTTATTTTATACATTGTGAAATACTATAATAGTTAAAGTTTATATTACTTTTTTTATTTAGTCGCAATATAGAATTTTATTTTTATTTCTAATTCTTTTACCTTTTTTTATAAAAAATAATTTTTAAAAAATATATACATACAAATATATTTTTTAATATATAAAATATACGAAAATATATTTTTTTAAATGTAAAATATAAAAAAAAATTACTATTTTAGTTTAATTTTAATTTATTGTAAATTTTCAGATCCTCGTGTAAAAGATAGATATTTTTTCGCCAGCATTTGGTTTACTATTATAATAATAGTAATTTATTTAATTGTCTCATTTAAATTAATACCAGATTATATGAAAAATCGTCCAGCTTATAAATTGAATATATTTATTAAATTTTATAATATTTTTCAAGTTGCAACTAATGCATATGTCGTTAAAGAATTATCAATTTGTTATCCATTCCATCGTGCTTTTGAATGTCGTCCTATTACATTTGACATGGATGATTGCAGTATGAGGGTATGTATAAAAAAAATATCATGTGCATATTTATTTTTTTAATTATATATAAAAATTTTAATTTTTAAATAATTAAATTCTAATCTATTTTTTTTTCTATTTTCTATAAATTTATTTAAAATTAAATTTTGCTTTGGACAAAAATATCATTCAAAAATCCTGTTAATTGAGAAAAGAAAAAAAATTTTTTTACATAAATTTAGAAGAAAATAATATTTAACAGTTTAAAATTGAATTTCCTAACAAATTTTTAAAGTATTATAGTTCATAAAAACAAATATTTTAAAATTAATCGAATAATGTTTTTTTTGTATTAAAACGAGGTTTCCAATTTAATTTATTAATGTGAAAATTATAAAGAAATTAAACATTGTGCAAAAAGCAGCAAACGAACAGAAACGACGATTCTGCGCAGTAGCGATAAAACGTCAGGGCCGTAAAAATTTTGTTTCCATTTTATCTCAGGAGCGTAACTTTTTATATAGTTTAACTCAAAATGTTCAATTTTTATCAATTCGATTAATATAAATTTTTCTATAATTATAATATAATAATTATCAAAAATAAAATAATAAATAAAATATAATATGTAATAATTTTTTATTTCAATAAATTATTAAAAATATAAATTAATATAGGTATCCTCAATAATAAAAAATAATTCTCATATTTTCAGATTGTGAACGGTTCTGTCATTACGATATTATTAAAATTAATTGATCTCAGCGAAACAGTAATTTATTTACTAAGAAAAAAAAATAATCAAGTTTCATTTTTACATCTCTATCATCATATAAGTACATTTTTGGTTGGAATTATTTATTTGAGATATTTTACATCGGAAGTCTCAATGTTGTTTCCAATTATGAATTGTGGAGTTCATGTGATCATGTATTTTTACTATTTTCTTAGTAATTTTCCAGGACAAATTAAACAAATGATCATTCCTTTAAAACGCTATATGACCCTTATACAAATGGTAAATTAAAACTGTTTTTTTAAAATTATTATTACCTATTATTATTATTATTATTATTATTATTATTTAATAAAAGAGGAAAACTAAATTCTTTTTTTGTTTTAGGGACAATTATTTTTAATGCTTATCCAAGTAATATTTTTCTTACTACAAGATTGTGGATTGTCGAGAGTCATACTTTATATGACATTATTTAATACTATTATCAATTTTGGATTGTTTTTTCAATTTTACAGAAAAACTTATATTAATTCAAAAAAGAAGAAAATTAATTAGGAAATAATTTTAATACACTTTATGGTGATTATATAAATTCACATAAATATACTTAATGCAAAATACAATAAACCGAACAATTTTGAAAGAATAAAAATGTATAACTGAACTTTGAAATAATTATATATGTGACTTGGATCAGTTTTCTTTATTATTTACACAAAAATATATTTAATTTAATATAGAAAATATAAAAAAAATAATGATATAATGAAAAATCGCCATTTAGAGGTTAAGTAACTACAAAAATAATCGTACACTTGACTTCAGCAGTTATGAGTGGCAAATGAAGCAGGAAATTTAAATTCATTTAAATTTAATTTTATAAGTAAAACTCTGCATAAAAATGAAAACAGAAAACGAATTAATTTTAATAAACAATTCTTTTTCAATGAAATAATAAATTATGGTTTAGAAAAAGATTTTATTCTTTAAATCTTAATTAGTGAAAATTTAATTAATATAAAAATACTATGATTTTTTTAAGATGTAAATAAATTATTTATAAATTTTTGAATATCATATTACTATATAATTTTCACATAAATAGAAAATAAATATTTTCTTCTTCAGACTGATAACATAATTAAAGGGTTTTATTGTTATTATTATTTGATAAAAAATATTTTTAACATATTAAATTTCCATTCGCTAAAATACCACAGAAAAAAGTTAAAACATAAGAGAAAATCACAAAACTTTTTAGACATATTATTATAAAAAATATATTTTACTTTGATTCTTATATTTTCCTTAATATTTATCAGCGACTATATTTTTGAAATTTATATACGTAATATTTTGACAGCACAATTAAATTACATTCATTAAATTAAAAAGAAATAAATGAAAAAATATTTTCTAACCTACAAAATTTTCTAATGCATACATTAAGATGGATGAATTTAGAAAAATTTTCGAATTATAAAATTGCTACTTATCGACGATTATTATTAATTTTGTCACTTTTTGATTTTAATTTCACTTATTCATTTACTTTATGAACTTATTCGCTGGTATTTATTTAGAAAGATCGCTTTGTTTACTTCTCATCGAAAATAATACTCGTATCATACGAAATGTTCCGATGTTGTCAAGTACTGCTGGAGTCATAAAACGACTAAAATTTAGAAAATAGTAGTAAATTTGAGTACCCATCCCTGCATATGCCACGAACCACGAACTAATAAAATTATTATAGAAGTGTCACGAATTTTCAAAATGGCGTCAAACCGGAAGGACGACATTTATGCAATTAGTAAGCAATTAACCCCTTTCTAAAGTATAAAAATGCCAAAAAGAAAAGAAAGATTGTAAATTAAATTTTTTCATACAGAAAGTATTTTTCTATAAAAAAAATACCAAATCAACAAGAAGAAGGAAACGAAGGAATTGAGCACAATGTCTATGTACATATTTCGTGTTAAGTAGACAATATTTCATCGGATTGGAAGAAATGAAGATGCGAGGCAATGGTAATCGTAAATGTAAAGATCAACCAAGCTATAGATTTTTTTTACCCTCTCTATCTATCTCTTTCTCTCTCGCTCTAAAATTCCTTTATCTCCATGGCGTCACATCGCAAATTCTCCTTCTAATCTGTGAGTAATTGTCACGGGACAAAAGCCAACAATAGAGGGAGTTCAGCTACCTGCCTAACTTGACAACGAGCTCTCTTTTTAGTAGCTTTTTTTCTAACCTGTTTTCTCTAGTCTCCCCCCCCCCCCCCCCCACCTCACACCCTTCTGTCCCCTAACATTTTTTTTATTCCTCTCTATATATATACCTTAACTCGAAAACATCAGACGCGACGCCTACCGGCCGATTAATCTTCGATTATAAGAGTCGGTTTGACAGCTGTACTCGTAACACTTTTACGACCGACCCTGGAATGTTTGGCAGGCATCGAGTTGACTTTATTTTGAATTGTGCACAACCACCTTTATATACTATATATATATATAAGGGTGCATGTGTATATAGAACCTTATATGTCCTTGATAAGCAATGAAACTAAAAAGAAAATGCATGGGAAGATTTTTCTTGTCATTTTGATCTTTTTATAATATTTTACTATATAGATCAAGGTACATAGGGTTAAAGGCGAATTTATATGAATTTTTCCACAAAAAATCAAATGACAATAATTTGTTATATACTATTTATTATATTATATTTATTTATATTTATTATTATTTTATTCATATTTGTATTTATAAAAATGTCGTAAACATAACCTATATTTGCGTTTGCTTATTCATTCTGTTTTTAGTTTTCTGATTGTTGAATTTATTTCAATAATAATTAATTGACTTAATTTTTTACTTTAATCCTTCAGGAGTTAAGACATTTTTTACGAACTTGAAAAAAAGGTGGTTGCTAATACCTTAAACTGCAACTAGATGGCGCCACTCAGACCTAAATTTTTTCCATTGTCCCCACTAGCCGTTTTGTCATAATTCTCGTCAACTGCCGCATCCTGCTCTAGTAAAATTTTAGTGACTTTATTGTTAAAATTAAAAGTTACTAAATTTTTACTAAAGCAAGGTGCGGTAGATGATGAGAATTATAACAAATGGCGAATGGGGACAATGTAAACCAACCGATTTTAAAAACATAAAGCTACTTCTACAATAATATTCCTTTTATCCACTACGATTATGCGGCATATTTAGAGTGAAATCACATGAAGGCGTAAAACGTCAATATTTTAGTTTCACTAATTAATTAAATAACTAATTAATGAAATCCGATAATTAATTTTTTATTAATTAATTCAATTATTATTAATTTTATATTAATTTATTGTACTTAATTAGTTTTTTTTAATGAGATTAATCAAATTAATAATTAATATCGATAAAAAGTGAGTTATTGTAGAAACAGCATTAAAAACCATTTTTCAATTTTGAGGTTATGTTATCGTAATACAAAATTTAATTTGTTTTTGTTACACTCTTGTTTTCATGTATGTATAAATATTATATGCAATTCCTCGAATTAGGTATAAACAACTTTTCGTAACCGGATGCTATTGGATGCAGTGCATTTCAAGAAATTCGAGACAGGTCTCTCTAATCTCCTTGACGACAGTGCGTGTAGTCATACTATATATGCATAAAAAAAAGAAAGAAAGAGATAGGATGGATGTAAAAATTTTGAGGATTAAGTTACGTATATATATTTATGTGTGAGTGAGTGGAAAACTAGAGTAGTTCTATGCGCAGAGAAAACGGATGCCCCATGTATATAAAGAAAGTTGAATCATATGGACCGTCGTCTTCTCTCTTTAGCCCCATGGCGCTTGGGTGTCCGGACGATAGCCCTCAAAACATATAGAATAGAACACTCGAGAGATCAGGTTGTGTCTTCTTTTCTCTATTCATTCAAGATGTCCCCCCTCCAAAAAAAACCCTCCCCTCTCTAAAAATCTATATACACATGGAAATTAGAAACGAAGTTTTCCATTAGTCAAAGACGTCCTCTTCGTCGTTGTGTCATGATGCAAAACATATATACCAAACGGCCAATATGTTCCCGAGGTCATGTTCAGGATGTGGCAATAATCCCACTTGGTGCGCATAGTCCTTGAAGTCCAAACAAAATGTCTTCCACATTTACGTCAAGTGCCCGCAACATCTATACCCGCACCATAAATGAACAATAGACTAGGAAAGGGAAGGGAAATTCTTGAGAAAATTTTTTTCTTTTTCAAAATTAGAACATATGGAAACAATTTTTGCATTGCGGGAGATCGTTTATTTCTTTGGGAAAAGGAAACAGGAAATCATAAAATTCTATGAATTTCGTTTTGGTAATTTTGCATTAGATTATGTAATAGTTGAATAATAGTACTTTAATTTTATATTTTGAATACCTTTTGAATCGAAAATGAAATTTAATTCAAATTGGAAAACAAAATTTGATTTAATTCTAATGGAATTCATAGTGTAACTTAATTAATTCCAGTTTCAAGTGGAATATTCAATACAATTTTAAATTTAATTAAATTTTCCAAATCAAAGATATAGAACTAATTTTTAATTTAATTTAACTTTAATTCGAAAATGAAATTTAATTGAAATAGGAAAAGAAATTAAATAATTATTAAATTCTATTGGAATTCATAGTTTAATTTAATGTAATTCCACTTTCAAGTGGAAACAGAATTCAGGTTCTATTTATATTAATTTCGCATCGAATCTGCAACGAAATTTTAAATTAATTTCAATTCGTAGGATTAAATATTTACAATTGTATTTAAATTAATTTTTAATCTATATGCCAATTGTAAAACGAAATTCATAATTAAATTTAATGAACTCCAAGATTTAATTCTAACGGAATTCATAGTGTAACTTAATTTAATTCCACTTTCATATGGAAATAGAATTCAGGTTCTATTAATATTAATGTCGTGTCAAATCTGTGACGAAATTCCAAATTTGTCGGATTAAATAATTAAAGTTTAAAAATTAATTTAATTTTTAATCTAATTATGGCAAATGTAAAACGAAATTAAAAATTTAGATTAATTATAATTTATTGTTGAAATCTTAGATAAAATTAATTTTATTTTTAATTCTACTTAATATTGGAAACGAAATTAAAAATTGATTAAATTCTTCTCCCTCAACTAACGGAATTAATTGATTTTAATTTTTAATTTAATTACATAACCAACAGGAAATGGATTTACGTCCTCTTTAAATCATGGCCGAAATCGAATGTCAAATTATAATCCGTGTTCTAAACTTCTAGCAGAATGCAAATTTTTATTTCATTCCATATTTTCTCTTTGTTTTGTTATATTTAAATTAATTTAATTAATAATAATTTAATTAGTGATTTAATTAATAATAATTTAATTAGTGATTTAATTAATAATTTAGTTAAATTAATTTAATTAAATTAGGTTTTATTTATAAATTTAAATTCTGAAATTACCTGATTCAAATCATTTTAAAAAATCTATTACTGAATACATAAATATTTTGCTATCGAACAATGTGTATATGTTTTTTTTCCAACGTAAAAATGTTTTTCCTTCTTTATAATATATATTCTTTTTTATTTTTATTTTAAAATAATCAAACAAATTTCAGTGCATAGAGAATGCGACTGAACAGAAATAAATA